TGACTATTATCTCACAAGTTAATTTTAACATTAATATTAAATTTAATAGATAGTAAAAAGACCAAAATAGCTCTTAAATAAATTTGACCGTTTAATCAATTAAGCGTCGAAGCCACCAAACCTACTTTTTCGGCATTGTAATTCATAATCAACTTTAGGATTACTATAACTTGATTAAGTTAATCGATTTTGACTGCAAACAAGATATCACAGTCCCTCATTATTTTCTGGTACAAATCTAAATCCATATATATCTGCAAGACATTAAAAACAAATTAAAAATAGTTGTTATGCACGTACGTACGTACCATCAGTAGCTGCAGCCTCTGGAGATAGTTGGGCCTGGTTGTCCTCAACAGTTTGATGCGGTAGATTGCTGCGGCTACTGCGTCGTACTTGGGCTCTTGCTTGAGTTGGAGGAGCCTCCTGTTGGAAGTCGTCATCATCACCATTGGAATTTGTTTGCTCTGTGGAAGCAGCTCGACGACGACTGAAGTACAAGATTTTTTGTGCAATCCTACGGGGTGCTCCCTTGCTAGCATGCACCAATGGTGTTGTCATCCTTTTATTCAGCAAATTGAAGAGGAATTTTTTTAGAAGTAGATCGAAAATTTTGATGTGAAAAGAAAATGAAACAAGAGATCGAAGCAAGCGTGCAGCAATACCTTTGAAATGTAGTAGTTAGTGCCTCGGCCTGGATCAGTAGATTATTTCTCTTTCTTAATTATGCTCTCCTTGAGTAAATAAGAGCTAGCTAGCTAGCTCTCGCTAACCTATATATGCAGGGAATGAGGTGAAGGTTGTAGGGTTTTGGCGGGTGCCAATTTTGGAAATGGGATATTGTTTGGCGGGAAGGAAAAGGAATCAATTAAGTTGAAGGGAAATGAATACATGCATGGGAGGGAAGTGGGGAGGAAGATGAATAAATGGGAAGACGTACAGGTGGTCTGGTCTGGTGGTGGCATCGGGAAGGAAAATGGGTCAGATAGGAAGGAAGAGATTAGTTAGGAAAAGATGGCCGGCTCACAAGATTTCCTTATTTGCAGAAAAAGAGGAAACAATAATATAAATAGACTTGAAAATGCAGCCTCTCTCCAATACACACACAGTTTTCACAAACATTTGCTTGAAGGAAAGCAGACAGCCTGTATACCGTAGGTAAATATTGAAAGAAAGGAAAACAAATTGGAGAAGTTTACTTGAAGGCAGCGACGGATCCAGGATTTAGTAGAGCACTAGGCCGCATTTGAATAAAAAACTAGATATCGTAAAAGAAATACTATAATAATAACTAAGATTTTTGTTATAATGTCAATTATAAACGATGGTTTTTTAGTTTTGCAAATTCATCAATAATAGAGTCTTCGTCCATACCAATAACATACTCTTATAGAAAATAGTTAAAACATCAGCGAGAAATTCATCGCACATTCTTTTGCGCAAATCAGTTTTCGCATGTTCCACTACTTAAAATGTTCTCTCTATTGTAGTCGTCGAAACGGATAACATCAATAATGTCTTTGCCTTTTTATTTGGTGCTTGAGAATATGCCATTATAAAGTATCTTCAAATGGACATAATAAAATATAATAGATTAATTATATACATTCAAGTTTCTAATTGACTTTCTGATTCTAATTCCAATACTAGCTTTTACCCGACCCGTTGGTCGGAAGAATTTATTATTATTGTTGTTGTTGTTGTTTGATGTTAATCAATTTGTTAATATTTTCAATTGATTTGAATTTTTGTAAATAATTTATTGACGTTTTGAAAATAATTTTTGTGCTACTTGTTGATTGTGATATTAGTTATGATTAGTTCCTATATATTTTTTATAATTAGGTTATCCTTACGTTAAAAGTGTGTATTTTTATTTTTATATTTCTGAAAATTATTTGCACTTCTTATTGTCGTGCATCCATTTAGTGTCTTCGACTTGAAATAACGTTAAAATCTTAAAAAGATGCAAATTAGGGCTGACTATTTGGTTAGGGTTTTTTGGTTTTACCCGAAACCGGACCGTATAACCCGAACCGAGACCGGACCGGGACCAGATAGTAAACAATCCAATCCAATCTTTGGGCTTAGATTTGAGGTAAAAAACCGTTCGAGACCGGATAAAAAACTAGAAAAAGACCGGATGAGAGAGCTCAACACCCAAAACTTAAGGGTAATTTGCATAAACTGTCACAAACCTTTGCACTTAGTACAAACCACATGAATTTGTACAAAATTCATTCAATATTCACTTTAATTTGAATGATTCAGGGTTTAGAAATTTAGGGTTAGGGTTTCTAATTTGGGATTTTGAGTTGAGATTCAAAATTGAAGGTTAATAGGTTTAGTAATGGGTTGATTAGTTTTGATTATGTGTTGTATCATCATATTAGACTAATGCAACCCATTAAATTTCAAAATTTGATGTATTATGACCACTTTTAGAGGTGGGTGCACTGAATGCACCCAAAAAAGTGAGTGCACCGAAGTAGCCACCCATATATATATAATATAATAAGTTTGAGTGCTTTAATTGAAAATTTACAACATAAATTCATGTAATGGAACTTTTTAAACCTCCTTAGATGACATCAATATAAATTAGAGAGGTTGAACCATTATGTGTGCATGATAAATGTTAGTAGAGTTTTCAAATTCAGTGTGACATGTATTGGAATGGAGGGTAAATGTTTACTCTTTAGGTTCTGCTTAACACCATCAACGACGAATATTACATACCGATATCACACCTTGGGCCCTGTCATTCGATTCGATTTAGCCGCATCAACATAACCGTGTAAAAAAAAAATTGGGCCGGGAATCGAAAATATCGTTTTTTTTGAAATTTTCGATTTTCACGGACATCGGGTTTTTTTTCCCCCACCGGCGACGATCGATATTTCATATCGATCTATGGTTCACCACAGCGGCGGATCCAGGATTTAGTAGAGCACTAGGCCGCATTTGAATAAAAAACTAGATATCGTAAAAGAAATACTATAATAATAACTAAGATTTTTGTTATAATGTCAATTATAAACGATGGTTTTTTAGTTTTGCAAATTCATCAATAATAGAGTCTTCGTCCATACCAATAACATACTCTTATAGAAAATAGTTAAAACATCAGCGAGAAATTCATCGCACATTCTTTTGCGCAAATCAGTTTTCGCATGTTCCACTACTTAAAATGTTCTCTCTATTGTAGTCGTCGAAACGGATAACATCAATAATGTCTTTGCCTTTTTATTTGGTGCTTGAGAATATGCCATTATAAAGTATCTTCAAATCGGACATAATAAAATATAATAGATTAATTATATACATTCAAGTTTCTAATTGACTTTCTGATTCTAATTCCAATACTAGCTTTTACCCGACCCGTTGGTCGGAAGAATTTATTATTATTGTTGTTGTTGTTTGATGTTAATCAATTTGTTAATATTTTCAATTGATTTGAATTTTTGTAAATAATTTATTGACGTTTTGAAAATAATTTTTGTGCTACTTGTTGATTGTGATATTAGTTATGATTAGTTCCTATATATTTTTTATAATTAGGTTATCCTTACGTTAAAAGTGTGTACTTTTTATTTTTATATTTCTGAAAATTATTTGCACTTCTTATTGTCGTGCATCCATTTAGTGTCTTCGACTTGAAATAACGTTAAAATCTTAAAAAGATGCAAATTAGGGCTGACTATTTGATTAGGGTTTTTTGGTTTTACCCAAAACCGGACCGTATAACCCGAACCGAGACCGGACCGGGACCAGATAGTAAACAATCCAATCCAATCTTTGGGCTTAGATTTGAGGTAAAAAACCGTTCGAGACCGGATAAAAAACTAGAAAAAGACCTGATAAGAGAGCTCAACACCCAAAACTTAAGGGTAATTTGCATAAACTGTCACAAACCTTTGCACTTAGTACAAACCACATGAATTTGTACAAAATTCATTCAATATTCACTTTAATTTGAATGATTCAGGGTTTAGAAATTTAGGGTTAGGGTTTCTAATTTGGGATTTTGAGTTGAGATTCAAAATTGAAGGTTAATAGGTTAGGTAATGGGTTGATTAGTTTTGATTATGTGTTATATCATCATATTAGACTAATGCAACCCATTAAATTTCAAAATTTGATGTATTATGACCACTTTTAGAGGTGGGTGCACTGAATGCACCCAAAAAAGTGAGTGCACCGAAGTAGCCACCCATATATATATAATATAATAAGTTTGAGTGCTTTAATTGAAAATTTACAACATAAATTCATGTAATGGAACTTTTTAAACCTCCTTAGATGACATCAATATAAATTAGAGAGGTTGAACCATTATGTGTGCATGATAAATGTTAGTAGAGTTTTCAAATTCAATGTGACATGTATTGGAATGGAGGGTAAATGTTTACTCTTTAGGTTGAGAGAGAGAAAACTACCGGCATAAGGAAATTAGCAATCCTTAATATCACACAAATAATATTGGACATTATTCTGTATCCTCAAAATTAGATTAATAAAATTAACCACAAGTCAATATTGATAAAAAAAAATAATTCGAATGTCTAACTGAGCAATGTGTATTGTTTAAATCTAATACTACGCAATTATTGATTGAATGTTGGTTGTACAGTTGAGAAATAAAAAATTACTTAGATATGATACATATATTAAGAGACCACAAATATATTTGTGAAAATGAATCGTTAAAACATAAATTACTTAAAATTTTATAAGAGTCTAATCATAATGAAAAAATATTTAATTAATTAGATATCATACGAAATTCACCTGGCCAACAGGTCGGGCACAAAGCTAGTAATTATTATGTAGCATTTACCTTAAAACAAATCTTCTTTTTCCTTAATCCTAATCGCATTTACTAAAAAGAAAACCAAAAATCCAATAATAATGAGTGACCCTTGAGTGTTTGAAAAATTGCAAAGTTGCCCTTCCACCAAATAAGGAGAACCAAACGACATAGAGTGAAGTGCATATTTTCAGTTATCATAATTCAAAAGCCAGGATCCGCATCTCAACATGGTGCAAAAAGCCGCCGCTTCATGGTTCCAAAAACATGACCGGCACCGATTGATGGCGTAGAAATCTAGTTCCGCATCCTCCTTTGACGCCCACCCTTCTCTGCCTCTACCCATACTCTCCGGCGAGGGCAGCACGGCGAATCTCTCTTGCCTGCAACTGCAAATCCTCCCTCGATTCTGCTCCGGCCCAGCCAAAATCGTGAAATTCCTCACCCACCTATACCTGACTACCGAGCTGACCCTCTCCCGGCAGTACCTCACCATCTCCAGCCACCGCGATCCTCCTTTGAGAGACCGCAGCAGAGCCATCCCTTCCTCCTGCTGGCCTTGGCAAAGCATGAGAAGCCCATAGATGTAGACGGATTCCGGGTGACCCGACCTTGCGGCAGATCCCAAATGCCGGAGCCCCGAATCAATTTCCAGGGTGCTGAGGTACTCAATCAACCCCCGGCGAAACAGAGCTTCCGGGTTGCCGCTGGTAATGCATCGATCGATGAACAAAACGCGAGAAAGGTCGCTCTTCCAGGAGATAACAGGGAACTCGGCGATGTTGACGTGGCGATAGATGTAGTCCTTGCCGGATGCTTCCAGCAGAGCCTTGCATGTTAGCTTTGCGCTGACGAGATCGGCCGGCGATTGGGAGGCTACCCTCGCGAGGACGTCGACGAGGATGTCCTTGGGGAGAGCAGCGACCAGGTGGTGGTGGTCTCCCGCTGATGGGAAAGTCGGCATGGAGGAGTTTCAGAGCTTTTGCATTTCCGTCCAATTTGTGGAAGGAAAAGAAAAACAGAGGATGGGATGGAGAGAGAGAGAGGGCCGGCGTGGGTTTGGGTAAATTATGTTTGATTGGATAGCTACATACAAGTTCTGGAACCAAGGGAGGGCTGGGCCCGGGCCCAGGTTGGCCCCCCCTGGATCCGACAGCAGTTGACAAGCATTAGGTGGCCAAACACACATAGAAAAGAAGGCAGTAAGAAACCAAAATGAGAATGAGAAGAAATTAAGATTTTATTGCCTTTTCTCTTTCACTCACTTGCCCTACCAAAGAACTAGGCTGTAGGCTCCCCTGTCTGTCTCCCTCTTTATATCCCCGGTCGGCTAACTTATAAATGCCGTGACGTGACGAGGGTGAAGGTTATAGGGTTTTGGCGGTTTGCAAAATTTTGGCGGGAAGATAAATGAATAAGGCAGCATTGGGGAAGATGCTATTCGAGTCAAGTCTGGGAAATAAATGGGAGGGTAAGTGGGAAGAGAAATTTAAGAGGCTTCTGCTCTGCACCTCCCATGCATGCATAATGCATATTGACTATTGAGAAGCCAAAAGTGGTAAGAGGTGTCTGTCTTAATAAAGTTTCTTGTCCACTACACAACAACCCCATAATTGTTTATTCCAAAATGGCAAAATCCTTTGCCGCCTTGGCAGAGTATTCCGAAACGTTCCACCAAAAAAAAAAAAAGAGTATTCCGAAACGAAATCAAGGCTTTCCCCAACGCCTCAAGTTTAGGTGGGTTCCTTCTGTCCGAATTAAGGCTCAAGATAGGGTGCATAACCATGGGTTATGCACCCATCAATAACCAAATCTGGACCCTTCATTTAGAAAATCCAGATCTAAGGATGAAGAATTAAAGACCATTTTTATTTTCACTATTTTTCTTAATTGACTCATATCTTTTTCGTTTTAACTCGGATTTTAATTTTTTTTGCACAGATGGAACGAGTTCATCGTGCTCTACAAAATGAGATCAATTTTCAATATTTTTTGAGGAAAAAAATTCTGGCCTCTCGGTACCAACTGCATACCATATGGTATTTTCTTCGTTTTTCATTCGTTTTTGAAAACGTTTGCACAGCAGGGACGAGTTCATCATGATCTATTGGATCTACAAATTTCTGGGTGAACAAATTACAAGACCAAAAAATACCACACAATACCATACAATACCACCCTGGTACGGGGTGGTATTTTATGGTATACAATGTTAAAAGTCGTAAATGACAATTAATATACTTCTACTATCATGTATTCAATCATCCTATAGTCTTGGTTTGTTCATACCACCATGGTACGCTTTTCAACCCATAGATATGCTCTTATTTCAATACCAGTCAATACCATATGGTATAGACTGGTAAAAAATAGCTCAATTTTTTTTGTTCGAAAAATATATCAAAGTGGATATCATTTTGAAGAGCACAATTAATCTGATCTAACTGTGCAAAAAAAATTAAATTTCGACTTAAAACGAGCAAGAAATCGTCCGTCAAAGATTAAGAAAGGGAAAATTAAAGGCTTTCCAGGAGAGAGAGGATGCTGATGTCATGCTGATGTGGGCGGGTTACTCATAGTTACTCACCATAAGATTACTGACCTGATCCATTCCCCCGAATTAACCACACGACATTATATAATTGGCTGCTTACTTTTCTATTCCCAAGTCTTAGTTGTATTGTTTATGTAAAGCAAAATTCATAAAGTTGGAGAATTAATGAAACTTGCGCTTCACTCATACTTCAATACTTCATGCATGGAGGAGCTAGCTAGCACTACCTCTCTCTTCAATATTTCAATTTATATTTTTCTTTTCATCTATATAAATTTAATAAATTAGAAAAATGATTGTTACTTGTAATCGTCTAAACAATCCCAACATAATAGATTGCACCAAATTAAGTACAAAAATATTTCAAATTATTTCGTTATCGTTGTATTTCTCATTCATAAGCCGACTTCTACATTTACATAATCAATTTAAAAATATGCTATACGTCAATAAGGTGGCATGATCCATAGTATAAATTTATCAGCGATTGAAGTATAATATAACACCTAAACTCTAATGAGAATACCATAATTTCTGATTCATGAACACTTAACCTAAATCATTCTAGTTTAAAACTAGTAATCTTTTATTCTGATTTATCGAAGTGTTTGCTATGCACCAGATTTATCAAACCATGTATCAGTCTATTCTTGCGCACGAGGTAGTTCATGATATTCTGAGCTGCTAGTGAAGTTTTTCTTTGATTTTCCAAGTTTTCGATTGGGTGAATTAGAGTTGAGGAGGATTCAGAAGCCGGATTGAATCCTAATTTCATATACAGGCTTTCTACGGTGAGGTAATGAATTTTCTATTTCTAACCTATGAATTTCGCCAATTATTTAGGTCGGAGTCGGAATCGCTGAATTTAGCTCCGGCTAGGGTTTGATGTGTATTTATCGATAATTTGAACTAGAGCTTAGAACTAATATTGACGGGGACACTGGAGGGGATAGTCGGACGGTCTCGAATTTTGATTCCGGGTTTGTTTGAGAAAAGTGAAGTTATGGTATGGGAGGCTAAAACCGGTGTTTGAACGACCAGAGCTGGTGAGGGATTAGCACGACATACCGGGTTTGTCATATCATGATAATTATATTGATCCATAAAAATGACCTAGGTGAACTAGAATGGCATGATTAGGCATATATGGACTTTTGTGTTATATGATGAACCCTAGACTGCTGTATGATATTATTGACTTGCCCTAATCGATATTTACTTAGTTTATGTTGATGATTGCATACATGTTGCCATTTGTGGCTTAACTGTTGATATGACTTCATGGTTTTTTTATAAGGTTTTTTACATGATGTGATATTATGGTTGTATTTGGATTCACAATTGGGAGAATAAACTTTCCAAGATGATATTATGATGTCTTAAGGAGGATGACTTGCACGAGGGTTCATCCCAAGGAAGTGCAATTATACGACTCCTTGTTTACCTATGTTGAGCCAATTATCGTCAGGTGAAGTACATGTGCAAGTAACGAATTATGATTAAGCAAGATGGATATGAATCAAGTATAAGGATACCAAATATGAGTGTTGTGGTCTCACGGTAAATTACATAGTAATTAGGGATCCCTATGCTATTACTCTATTATGATATGTATGATAGTCACAACTTTCATGTGGTAGTGCCTGAAGATTGCTTACGAGATATGACCATACCCAGAGCGGTGTCGGGGTATGACTACACCCATAGTGGTGTGGGGTATGTATGACCACATCCGACTGGATGTTGGGGTATGTATGACTACATCCGACTGGATGTGGGGTATGATTTCCGGGAGAGTTATTAGCATGGGAGTAGGCAGACGACTATGACTAAAACATGATAAGATGCATATGCATAGGTCAAGGTGGTTGAGTCTTTTGCCTATTGGGATGTCGGATGACTAAGGTCTGATCCTAGTGCTTTGGCTTGATTGCTAGATGTATGATAGGGGTATGCTCTGTTATGAACTCACTAGGTGATGACTGTCCCACTCAGTTATGAGCTGACCCTCTTTTATCCTTTTTCTCTGCTTATACCATGTGTAAGAAGATCATCATCATCAGCAGGAGGAGTAGATAGGTGTATAGGTGGTAGCTGAGCAAGAGTTGAAGGCAAGTTGAGGTATGGTCTTCAACTATTATGTTCTTGGACGACTACTCAGGATTTTGGCCAGTGATCCACACCTTTTTGTGAAAATATTTTGAGAACGTTGTTCATGTGCATACTAGCTTCTCATGTAGTGTGAGATATTCATAGATGTGAAAAGTTGATGATATGTGTATATGTGTGTGGTTGTGTAAGTTGTGACAATTGTAGCATTTATAAGTATAGTATGTAGTTGTAGAGTATGAAACTGTGACTATGACTGAAAATTCAAGGAAGTTGTGAACCACGAGTACATAAGGTCTCATAGTCCATCTCACTGGAAACTGTGACAAAGATAGCAACCACGACTTCGTCTTCGCAACCGCAAAGTCTAACCCACGGTTTCACCGCTAGAGTAGCCCAACGCATCGTCGTTTGAAGATCACGATCTTATGAACAAGATCGTACCCACAAACTCTCTTGAGCGGCTTGCAATCTTGTCCATATTTTTGTTCTCCTATAAATAATGAGAGTTACAAAGAGAGGTAGTTGTTTTGTGAAGAAGGTGAGAAGGAGGAGTAGCTTCCAGGAGGATTTCTACTCGAGAAGAAGAACATTTTCTAAAATTTATTCCTTTCTTTGCACGACTCTCCTCTACCCATTCATGGTGTAATTCGTTAAGGTAATTGGGGATTTTCCCCCAAATCCTATCTAAGGGTTTGACATGTAAATGATTGCATAATATAATATTATTATTTAATTGTGCTTAACTAGTGTTGTGAATGCTTCTATCTTGCTTCGGGTGTATCAATGAATCATTTCTAGCATGATTTAGCCTTAGGTTTCCTTACGTTATTTCTTAGTTGTACGTGAATGAATGCCTCTTACTTGAGATTGACGATTTTTGGTCCTAATTAGCGGGCGAGGTGATCATTCCCTTCCAATTAGGATCCCACCTAGATAATGCTTTTCATAGGAGTGCATGAACATCAACTTATAGATCTTTTGCGAATGAGTTATACTCGTTTAGAGGAGGTAAATTGTCACTTCTAATTAGGTGAGATAGGTGATGGATGTGGCTAGGAGGGGAGTCGCGAGACATGACCATATGGCACCGGCCACCACTCATGTGACCTTTGCACCACAATTGCCATGAATCCATTATATATCATTTGCATATGTCTAATGTAGTTGTGAGATTTCTTCACAGAGTCAACCCCAAATCCTCCAAAGATTCAAGAGGGGTGACAAGGCAAGTTGGTAGAGCTCTAATTGCATGGCCATTGACTTAGGGCTTATAATTGGTATTTTTGTGTATTGAATGC